CAAACTAGTGGTGACCCTCCTGCCTCAATCTCTCTAGGGCTGGGATTAAAGGAGTATACAACCCTACCTCACTTCAATCACAGAAATTTTAAAAAGCAATGTCTTTTTAAAAGAATTCATAATCATTCAAAGTGTCAGAGGGTTCTTCCTTTCTAACTTTTTCTATTAAACAGAGGACACCAAATATATTTATGAAAAAAGATAAGATCATGAAGTAATTACAACTTCTATGCTTGGTCCTTCTTTATTTTATATCTAACAAAGTATTTCAAAGATACAGATAAAATATATAAATGATTAAATAAGTCCTAAAATAAAAATAAGCAAGCAAACACTTTTACTGATTTATGTACTAGATAATATTTAAAGATAATATCTATGGTGGTTTGAATGTGAATGGCCCCAGAGGCTCATATATGAATACTTGTTCCCCTGTTGGTGGGAACTGTTTGGGAAGGATTGGGATGTTATGGTCTTGTTGGAGGAGAGTTTAGAGGTTTCAAAAGAGTCATGTAATTCCCAGTGTACTTTCTCTCTCTCCCTTCCTCTCTCCCTCTCTCTCCTCCCCCTCTCCTCTCTCTGCCTTGTGGTTGTGGATCAAGATGTGAGCTCTCATCTATTCCTTCACTCCACCATCACACTCTAACCCTCTGAAACTGTAAACAAAATTAAAACTTTTATAAGTTGTCTTGGTCATGGCGTTTTTGTCACAGCAACAGAACAGTAACCAAGGCAGAAGTGGGTACCAGGGAGCGGGCTATTGCTGTAACAGACCTGACAATGATGGTTTTGGAGTAAGATGGGAAGACTACAGGACTTGCACTAGGAAAGTGGTTGAATACTATAAGCATGGCTTAGCAGGTCGTCCTAGTAGGAGCTGGGAAGACAGTAACACTGAGAGCAATGTGAACTACAGAGGCTCAACTCAAGAGGTTTCGGAGGGGAACACCATTAGCAACTTGGCTAGAAACTATTCTTGTATTATTTTGGCAAAGTGTGGCTGCTAGAATTCTTGTCATAAGAATTTACCTGTGACTACATTAGAAAATAATGAACTAATTTCCTTGGTAGAAGTGATTCAAGGCAGCCTAACATTGATTCATCTTGATCCACAACATAAGGAAGGGAGGGAAGGAGGGAGGGAGGATGAGCACATGGAGAATTGCATGAATCTTTTGAAATCTCAAAGCCTACCTTGGTGACAGTTACTAATAATCACACTTATGCAGATCTACAAGAAAAAAGAGCAAATGGAGCAAAAAGAAATAGAAAATATAGAGCTTAAAGAGAAAAAGAGCACTAGGAAATGAATGTTGGAGCCAAAGCTTGTGCTGTAAAGACTAAAAGACTGAAGACAGGCCTGATCTGAAACGGAATAAAGGCAGTGGTAAGCTCAGGGCAAGACTCCACCCACCCAGCTAAGTTTCCAACTTGTGAAAAGAAAAGGCCAAAGGAATTTTCTGCTCCTATAAAGAAACAAACAAACAAACAAAATCAAAGCTGTTATGGATGTGACTCAAGGGTGCCAGGGTTCACCTCAACTTGGTAGTCATACTTGGCAGTATCCACCACATGGTTCTGGCTTCAGAATCATGAAAGATACAAGAATAATGGGGTTATGAAATCTTCCTCCACAGTTAAGAGCCACTGAGGCCAGACATATGACAGAGTAGTCCCTGAATAGAGGCCCTAAGAGGACACTGCATGAAGCTATGAAAGTTCTGGTTTGCATTGGAGACCCCAAGATATTACAGGTGCCGGCACCATGGGTTATCTGTCAAGGAGAGCAGCATAGAGGAAGTGGAACCAGTGCAAGAGAGAAACGCATGTTGCTGGGAGCAAAGCTGGAAGAGTGGAGCCACCTAGTCCTTTGACATCAGGCAAGGAACTACAAGATTTGGAGTTTGTATTGCTGGGTTTCAGTCTTAACGCTGGTCCAGTATTTCCTCACTGTGTCCAAATCCCTTTCTTCTGGAAAAGTAATGCATATTCTGTGCCATTCTATGTTGGAAGTACGTAATATAATTTTTTGTTTTATGGTGGGGTAAAGTTAAGAGACTGCCTTGAGTCTCAGAAGAGACTTTGAACTTTAAACTGTGTTGAGTCTGTGAAAAACAATGGGGATTTTTGAAGTTGGACTAAATACATTTTGTATTAAGATGCGGTCATAAACCTATAAGGGCCAGAGAATGGAATGTGGTGGTCTGGATGAGAATGACCCCAAAGGCTCCCATATTTGAATATTTGATCCCAAGTTGGTAAAACTGTTTGGGAAGAATTGGGAGGTGTGGCCTTGATGGAGGAGATATGTCACTGGAGTAGTGCTCTGAGATTTCAAAAGACTCGCTAATCCCCACTGATCTCTCTCAGCTTCATGGTTATGGATCACAATGTGGGCTCTCAGCTGATCCTTTGCTCTACTATCATGGACTCTAACACTCTGAAACCATAAGCCAAATTAAATGCTTTCTTTTATAGCCTTTGTCTTTGTTTTATTATAGCAATAGAAAGTAACTAAGACAATATCTAAGAATGTATTTTATTCATAATAAGAAAATGAAATTGTTTTTCTTAATAACCATGATTCCTTAAAATAGTAAAAGTTATTCCTCATAAAGAGAAAACAAAGGAAACTTATATAAATATGATGATCAGTTAAAAGTTAATTTTTCAATAAAAATACTGTTTCCCAGGTCCCAGAATTTATCAAAGTAGAAAAACCAAAGGAAGAAATAAATATCAAGGGAAAACTTACAAATAAGATAAATAAATTCACAATCAGATAGGGCTGATTAACAGGACAGATATCTATGATAAATTAATATATTCCAACAAGCACTGGAAATACAGCCTTGAGGAGCTTGGATTCTGAACCACAGAAATCTTTTTACCCTACATAGTCAATGAAATTCTAGGGGGTAAATACTGAGCTCGACATCAAAGGTAATTCATGTTAGTGTTGGGGTACAATATGTCATCTAGTACCCAACACACTGCGAACCTGAATCATTTAAGAACATAAACCTTTACTTCAACTTATTCATTTCTTCACATTTGAAGTCTTCTACAAATTTTAAGGGCAAAGTCAAAATTTAGTTTATAAAAATGAGTGCTTAAACGTAGCAAAAATAAAATCAAGCAAAGTGGTATGTTCAAGTTATCTTCTTTACTTCCTTACTATTTTAAAATATTGATTTCAATAAATTAAATATCTAAATAAAAAATGATTTTGTCTTTCAAGATCACTTTCTTTAATTGAGTTAAGTAATTTGAATGATAATGTATTTAACTGTATTTAGATGATTGTTTCCATTCTTTCAAAGAATGAGATTCTTATAATAATTTTTAAGACTCTCCACATAAACTATGGATATGAGGTACAATATTTTAAATTCGATAATGCCTTCAAATGTATATGTTCCAGAAAGATTAGTATGTGCTAGGGTTAGGATAAGTGTCTCCCTAAGGCCTATATGTTAAAGGCATGGACTTGAGTCCATGAAGAAGATGGAGGATTGTGAAGGACATGGAAGCCTAGAAGAAGGTTTCCTGAATTGGGACATAGAGATCCCATCCCTTTCTTCCTTTCCTCTTCTTCATGCCCTTGTCATTATGTGTGGAGTTTTACTCCCCAGCTGGGTCCCTGTCATCTGGTACTGCCATACCAGATCCCCAGAAGCAATAGGACCACCCCTACCATAGTCTTCCCACAGACTTTCCTTTTCAGAATTGGTTTTGGTCAAGTATTTTGTTACAGTGGAGCAAAGCTGGCAAGTCGAGCTCAAGAACTAGATGGATGGATGTATCTAGAGACAGGAGGCAGGTATGTTTATCTGTTTAGAAACTTCTCCCAGTACTTCACAAATCCATGAAATGCATGAAGGCTACATGGTAGGTACCACTAAGTCAGAAGACAGGTGAGAAAGCATATTAAACATTTTTATTTATTATTGCTCATAATGTTCAAGAGGTTCGCACATCAATTGTGAAAGGCAGGCCAGGATAGGATTTAAAAAAAAAAGTCTCACTTTCCAAATATTCTACAGACTAAGGGTTAAAGGTAACCTGACAATGGACCTCTATTAATGGCAGGCCTCTGTGTTACTTCTTATTAACCCAATGTGTTTAACCCTTAAATGTATACATCTGGGCCAGAGAAAGATGCTTGCTACAAAACCCAAGAACCTGAGGACAAATCTTCAGGGCTCACATACTGGAAGAAGAGAAATGACCCCCTGAAAGTGTCCTCTGACTTCTACATGCATGCTGTGGCACATGCTTGCCTACACACATGCAAATTACAAGTGTAAAAACACATTATAAGCTTAAGAATCTGGTCAGAGAATGGTCTTGTAGAAATTTTTTGTAAAACCTGACTAACAGCTTTTAATGAACACTGGGAAAACAAATGTACTTGACTTATACCATTTTGGACCAGCTACATTCTTAGATATAATTTAACAATCCTTTTAGGGAATTAGAATAAATGGCAAGGTGGGACAAGATATGCTAAATAAGCAAGCACAATTCAGAAAGTGTTATGAACCAGGAAGACAATAAGTATCCAAATATCGCCAAGTTCATTTTAAAGTGCTAATTTTCTTATTTCCACTTTGTACTTGCCCTACCTAAGCCATTAATTTAAGTTCTACTGCCCTGGTGAGTTTCTTGGTGATTGTAAGATCAGGTAAGTGATTTTAAGCGCTTGAACATAATTTATTAATTCACTCAAAAGTAAATATACCATTTCTAGAACTTTAAATGGTTTTAATAGATGTTTGACAGGCCAAAGATCATGGGGACTATTAGGTAACAGTAATGAAAAAAGCTAAAACAGATTGATGAATTGGGCAAGAATAAGCTCTGAGGCACACTGTGTTGAGTTTTAAAAGACAACCAGAACACTTCCTAGAGATAAAATATTAGGATGTTTCCTTTGCCTTGCCTCAATCAAAGGGTCATTGAAAAGCAGTTAGGACACTGATGAAATGAATGCTTACTGGCTTGTATCTCAGAGCATCCCTGTAGGATCCAAACAAAGCCGCCTGCGCCCTCAGAAAGGCCCGAGCCACTCCGTCTCCTGTAGCCGTGGACTGCTTCTTCAGCTTATTTTTCAAGGCCGAGACCTGCATGGCAGAGAGGAACAGTTAAATTAACACCTCAGAAATTGGTACAGCGAGGTACGAACCCAATCAGCAGGCAAAGCGCAATGTCTGCAGGTCAGCCAAAATCCATCCTCCTCCCTGAGAGCTTATCTTTTTAGCTGTACTGAGCACCTGCTGCTCTGCTAATTGAAGGAGAGCGGGAGAGGATAGTAATGTGCTAATGCAAATTGGTTTATGCTCTCTTTTTTTCCCAAGGCCTCTTGACATAAATAAGCTTTAATTATTTACAGTAAAATGCTTGTGAGGCACTTTTCTGCAGATTTTTAGCAATTATAACGTGTGTCTACTTGTTTAGAGATAAAGCTGGTTCAGTAGCGTTCATTTCTGGTGTGCATTGTTATTTGTTAGGAGTCCTTCAAGATCATTTACAATTTTATTTTCTGTTTAGAAGTGTCATTTGCATAAGTAATTTCTCTTTTTATAATTATCAGAAGAAAAGAGAGAAGAGATAAAGTTACAGAGACCATATCATGAATGGAAAATTATGTAATGTAAATGTTACACATTGTCTCATTTAAATCTCACCACATTCTCCTAAGAAAAACATTCATATTCTCATTTATGAATGAAAAATGTTGGGACAAATGATAGGAACCATTTTGCTTTCACTATGTGGCTACTCAGAGGCAAAGTTGTGATAGAAATCCAGTGTCCAGTGTTTCTCACTACCACATGCTGGACTGGAGTTCTATATCATTGCTACACCAATCAGCAATCAGAACAAAATACTAATGTTTGAAAACACAGAAATTTGAAAGGTTTGAAAAGCTGTTCAATTGTTACAATATTTCATGCCTATTCTAACTTCCAGTGCTATGCACTTTAGAAGTGTAAGAAACTAGTGGACTGACTTGTAAGTGAACTCATACTCAGGCTGTTAACTTTTTTTATTCATTTCACTAACTACTTTCATTCAAAATAGAAAACCATAGTCTGTACACTTAAAAACACCAAATTTCATATACATTCCTTATTGATGTTTTAAATAGAAAAATGTGAAGTTTCATTCTATTTTCTTCTGGAAATAAAATCTAATTTAGAGATGAATTTTAACTGGATTGCTCCATCAACACAACAATATTATCTACATAAACTACGAGATGATAAAATAATGCCATTTATCCTTTACATATGTGTGCAAAGGGGAATATTTTTATTTCTTTGTTCAAGTAGTCCTAACTACTCTTGTAGATGATGATTGTGATTGAAGTGTGAACCTAATTAACAACTAAACTTTGAATAATGCTAATGAGACATGAACACAGCATCAGAGGAAAGACCAGCTCTACAGGTGATAAACCTTCACAGTAGTGACATTTTCCAGTGTAAAGTCACAGTTACTGTGATCTCATCAAAGAAACAGACCCCCATTGGGTCCAATTATAACTAGAGTTTTCAAAAATTATTGAGTTATGGTATTCATAATCTATGCAGAAAGGCCTTTGTGGTATAGGTCTTCTCCCCATAGCTGTGATCTTTTCAATTTATTTCCAATCTCCACAGATTTAGATAAAAGTTTAGAGCCTAATTCAGTTAGCCACAAAGTGCTAAACAGATCCATTTCAGAGAAAGATTTATTATTAAAATCTAACCTCAGTTTAGGTAATCCACATACTCAAACAATAATGCAATTCAAACACACTTCAGACTTATGTCCTTTATTCTGATTTGAAATGTTATTTTTCTATATTTAAAAAAAATGAGACAAATACCAAAATATATTTGATTACTATCCTTTCCATGAAGATTATGATATAAGGAGTAGCATCCGATGGTTAAGAATATTATGAAAATTAAATGAATGGGTTTTTTTTTTTACATTTTTTCAACAGAAAAATGAAACAAAACAAAAACTTCATTATTTACAAAAGCCATGCCTTGTATCTCTGCAAAATCAAGTTCTTCAAGTTGCACTTCTCAGTAAAACTGACAATTTCGTTCTTTATGAAACAAGAAAATAGTACTGTTAGGGCAGTCAATACATGCTCACAAAATGGGAAGGTGTCTCTCTCTCTCTCTCTCTCTCTCTCTCTCTCTCTCTCTCACACACACACACACACACACACACACACACACACACACACACCAGAGCCTCTCCTTCACCACGCCCTGAACTGAACAACTGCTATCCAAGCTATTCGGAGAATTAG